CCCCCCTTTTAGGTTTGATAAGGTATTATATTAGCGTGTCCGTCTTGAATGTTCGTTGCAAATGAAACATATCAGCTTAAAAAAATTCTGGGGAGAACCCTGAGTTGTCAGTCCGTGATCAATCAACAATTTATTTTCATGGGTCCTTTTCAACTGTATTGCTAAAAGCTATGGGTCCCACAGCGTTGAATTTCAGTATTACCAGAAATTCTAAGTGTATAGGACTTGGGGAACGTATGTAGATTTACCACTGGTCCTAGAACCAGATGCAACAATCTTTACTTAGTTGTATTTGATGACATCAAGAGGTAAGGGAAAAGTTTGGATCCTAGTTCCGTACTCAGGAAAAACTTGTTGGTTAAAGCATTAGAGATTGGGAAATATTAAACTAGAAACTACTCAATCTTTCAACAATTATAAAAAGAAGTTATATCAAGTATCAACTTGTAATCAGTCTTGTTGGCCTAGATGGAAGTGTGCACATGGTATCAATGTGGGAGGTAACTGCTCCTGCTCAGGGGCCCTTTTCCAAAATAGCTGGCAAAACCCCTGGTATTGTATTGATGCAGTTTACATTAAACTTTTGTTCGTCTTTCAGAGGATGTACCAACTCTATAGCAGCCAATCCAGACTGTCCAGCACTTTCCACAGAAATTGTAGATCTACATTCAGGTACTTGAAAGGGGAAACATTTTCCTAATCCTGGCATGTAATAATGGAGTTGTTTTTTTTTGCCAAATTGAAGAGAAAGAAATTTGGCTTTACAAGGTGCTTGATAATGGTGCACAATCTGCATTTCTCCCATAACCACTAGTCCATTACAAACTTGTGTAGACTGTTGCCAGGGTGTTAGTTACTATATCAAGTTAGTTACCAACATGTTACTGTAGATAACACCTTTGACATTGACAGTTTTTATGCCCCTGTCAATACCATTGCAATTCGGCGTCATCGCTCTTCCAACTTCATTTCGTAATGGATTATGATGAAAGGTCAAGTTTGAGATTGCTAATTTCTTGAATGTTGCTGAATTCAGGGTTCGAAGGTCAACACCAAGGTCATATCTGTTTTACGTTTTCTCATTAAAGATAAAAAATGAACTTTTTAAGAGATTGATGATGGATTTTAATTTGTAGACATTTAAAAAAAAAATGAACTGTTGATTTAGGAGACTTTGATGACATTATACCAATAGGAAGGATGAATTTGACTGGTACATTAATTGCAACACATCTTTTTTGTCAGATGTAGCAGACTTGGAGGCGAAGGAAAACATGCTGGACGATCTCATAGTGAGCTGTACAAAGCAACTCAAAAGCATGACAGAGGAGGCAGATAACAAAAAATATCCTTTTTCTGGTCTTCAATACCTCAAACAAGATTATTGAACCAGCTTGTCCTGGTCTGGTGATTTTGCAGTGAGCATGTTTATTTTACAACGGAATAAGGAAATTGGGCCAGTTGCTTTTCTTGAAAGGGCACATCAAAAACATCATTGAACTAAAGAAAATCTTCAATCATAAGATCGAAAGGCAGTTAATTGGACATCAAGTCCTTCAAAATCCACATCATAGCCCAGGATTAAAACATGGTAAATTGCAATGAGCAGCATTTCACGGACACAAACATTTTTGCAACATTCCCTGCTATATTTTTAAAAAGATTTGATAGGGTATCAGGAGTTTACTAAATATTTGTTTCCAACTATTTTTTAAATATTGGAAATGTTTTGTTTGATGTTAACAACACACTGGATTTTGATCTACCCCGGCAGAATAAACTGAACAAGTACTTTAATGAAAGTTGGATGATATTTTACTTTCAATGTTAATTTTGATTTTAAATTGTTCATATTTGACTTTAAAAGAGATCAGAAAGCAAATCTTCCTTAACCAGATTACATTAGCTTATGTAACTTATCAGGACATTCGCAACATAGACACGCTAGATGAACAAACGGTGATCGCAATAAAAGCTCCGCCAGAGACGAGACTGGAAGTGCCCGACCCAGACCAAAACATCCAAATCTGGTTGAAGAGTTCCAAAGGTCCTATTGAAGTATATCTATGTCCTGAGGATACAGTGGAGAGTGTGGCGGACACAAGCTCGTCGAGTATAGGTAGTGCAAGCTCCAGTTGTGGGGAGGAGTCCAGTCGGTCAAGCTTTACAACGTCCGAAGACTCTGCCTCGTGTGATAGTTTTAAAGGTATGTAACTACTTTATGTCTAAATTAAGCAAGGAATTAAATTCTAGAAGTGCATATTTACAAGTACACATTAAACATGCTCTTTCACTCAATTTAGGCTGGACATAAAATAGGTTTCCTGTACCTAACATGTTCGAATAAATTGCCTTAAAATGTTTAGCCTTTAGGATAGGCACAAAAAGATGAGTAGGTAGGGCTACCAGAAACCCCAAATATATTTTGTTTGGTCTTAGGCTGAAATTGAAACTTAGATTTTGCCTAGGACTGTTGGATGGCATAAAGACCTCTCCAGTGGTCTTGGGACAGCTTTTGATGGTGGTATATGATCCTAACATGCAGAGTTCAGATTTTATGTTGTGGTAATTAAGAATTACTTTGGGAGATTCGCTTCAAAATGTCTTATGCTTTAATCTGTCTTGAACATTAATTAAATTGATGTTCTTGGTGTTTTTTATTTTATTTTATTTTCAATTTCTCTCCAGGTAATCAAGGTTCAGGTGTCAAGAATGCGTTACTGGAATATCAAGACATTTCTCCTGATTCGGTCAAAAATCTTTTACAACAAACTGAGGACCAAGAAATAGACGCTCCGTTCATGGCTCTGGAACCTCCTCTAGACATGGACGAATACATTTTTAGTCTCAATGGAGGAGAGGGCATCTCAGATCTGTTTGACGCCTATGACTTTGACATACCTGTAGTGTGATTTATTTTTGTTGTCGTTAATGTTGTGCGGAAGGTTTTAGTCTCAATTCAGGGTTTTCTATGCCCTTCTTAATTAGGTCCACTTTAAATTGTTTCATATTTCCTACAACTGCTAGAGCAAGATTATAGTACTTGTTCCAAGTATTGCCATTTCCTAATGTTCTCCTCAAACAATCTGACTGCAGAAAATAGTTTGAAATTTAATTTCTCGGAAAATTTGAAGAGCTTTAAACAGTATTTCCGTCACAACTTAGAATATTTGTTTGTAGAACCAAAATTTTAAGCTAAAAAAGTGCACAAATAATAATTCGTTGCTTTCATCAGAATATGCAGAAGGAAATAAACAAAGCAATATAAATATTTGTAAATCATACCATTTATAGATGCTAACTTCATTATTGAATTAAAATTTCTTTTTGCCTAAAATAGGTTTTTGAATATTTCGAATAGGTTAAGTAAGGTAAATGATTTCTCTATTTTCAGTAGAAACAGTAAAATTGAGATGAGGTAAAGAAGCAGTAAAGTGGGACTATTTCTGATTGGCAGGTTGATACATGTATCCGTTACCCTTACATGTAGAAACCTGTGTAGTTTTGATTTTTGTTTGCAATGTCTTGTACTGTAGTACAGTAGACTGCACTTGTCATTGACCAGTAATTAATACTTGGGGACCAATTAATCTACATCATACTGCAGGTTTAGAAAAATACTGTGGCGAGAAATCTGCCAGATTTTACATTTGAAGTGAATGTAATTATAGTGTGCGAATGAGTGAATGTCGGACTGTTCCTGAAACAGGTCCATCTCTGTTGATTGTCCTGAATGCTTTTGTTTTATTTTTGTTTATGCTGGACAGACTTTAAGTTATATGCTTTACATTTGCCTTCAATGCTGTTTCTTTTTAAAGCTGGTTCTATTGTGGATAATTTTAGTGCTGAATCGTGAAGTCCAGCAATGCATGTTTTTATAGGGAATCTTGTACGTGCATGTAGAGTTTTTAAAACAAAAAGTCATTGACTGAACATAAATGGGGGGGGGGGGTATTGATTGGAATTTATTATTCTATACTGACATTAAGAAGGAATGGCTAATTTGGTCAGGAAATACCTTTGCTAGAGTCGAGTATAAAAATACTTAAAAACGTTAAGAAAGACAGCAAGATAATAATGTTGGATATTACAGGATGTTGTAATTAAGATGTCGACAAAGTTTCTGTTAATCGCAAAGTAATTGTGAGCAATTAGGCAGAGGTTCAAACATAAGGTAGCAATATCTTCGTTAAAACTTTCTAATCTAATTATTTCTATTAAATAGTCACGAAATGGAAATTACAATAGAAAAGAAGGGGTGGAGATTTAGGTTTTTCATATATCATTACATTTTCATGAAATATTAACCTGCATAATACATACATATATGTGGGTATTTGAATATTGTAATTATTTGTTTGTTAAACTAATGATTTTCTTACTTTGATATGATTTGGAGGGCAAATTAACATATTAATTGTTAACTTATATACAGGTTTGTTTTTTATAATCCTGACTTGTACTGTTTTATTTATTGATAATACGATTATTCATTAGAGATATATAATAGACACACAGATTGATAATGGCAGGCACAATATAAGATGTATCGATATCTTTCATGAACGTTGGCTGGAGGCTTACACGATGAAAACATTGTAAGCAAGTCTGAAGAGATGTTGGTTTTAATGTTGCAGTCATTTATGAAAACAATATTTGATTGAGGTGGTGTATTGGGTAAGAAAACAGCCCTTGTAGGATTGTTGGACTTTAGGGTTGTGATGGGAAAGTAAATGGGTTTGATATGCATGCAGACCTTTTTTGTGGTGTGGATTATTATGTGTGGTTTGATGTCCCAGTGTATTGTTGTTCGTCCCGAGCATACAGTACCGTACACCAGACGTGTCCAGACAGTCCACTACAACGAAAGCCAACTTCAGCAGGTCGTAATTTTCCTCATCATTAATACATTTCTGTGTGATGCTTTGAAGAACCTGTTGCTGAACAGGTGAAAATCCAAAAACTGGTTTACATGAAATATCCTTGTAAAGAAGAAAAGAACTGCCAAGATGTTGTTGCACCTTTTAAGAGGCCAGACTGTCTAGACATCGTACTTGTATTTTGGGACACATTATTATTATTTCTTTTTTTAACCCTTTGTTTTTTGTTGCTTGAGAGTCCATATTTGTTAAATGTTGTGTATAATTTATGATCCCTATTAGCAAAACCTCAGAATTATGTTGTATTAATTAATAAATCTGTCGGCCTGTGTGATTAATTCAGGTTTTATCCAGTTGTTGGAAGTGTCACCAGGCCAGTGACCGTCTCAAAAAAAATGGGAATATCGGGAGAGACAAAATCCGTAATTTGAATGCAAGTATTACCCTTTCCATCAAGGTTGATTGACTTGAAAGGAAAATAGTTCATCTCAGAATGTTGTGGACGCATTCAAATTTTCTTGCAAGCTTATTTTAAAATTGGGTTTTTAGCTGGCAAATGTTATATTTGATTCCAGAAATATTTGTGGACATACCAGGTGCTTTTATCCCATATAGTAGTTTGGTAGTACATGTGAACTTACAAGTTGTACTTGTTTACAATACTCAAGTTCATCAAACCCAGCAACATATAGATATATCCTATTTTTTTGTGTCCGGTCTTTTGCCTCAATTTTATATGGAATATGAGTTAAAAATCTGATGACACTTTTAATAACTGGATCCACTTCTTCTACTATGCACCAAACTGTCAGTTTGATTGGGACGTTAATTAACTACGTTAATTTGTTGTTAATTAGGAGTGTAGTATGAGATTGGATTTTAATTGTAATTTATTGGTTTCTTAACCTGAACTAGTGCAATGCAAAAAAAAACCTAATCTATAAAATTACAAAGAATATATATATTTATTTACACAAATTAACAGGATTTTTATGGATTGGGTCAAGTATGGTTATACAACCTGTTGCATTTCACAACAGGCATTGATGTTTGATGAATTTAATATGAAGTTCTGATTGATGATGCATCCCTAACTTCAAAGTGTAAAAAAACCCAGAGAAGATGAACCATTTTATTTTGATGATTTTCAAAAGTACATCTTTGAACTGTCATTTTCAAAACAAATAGTAGAGAGATAAAGTCGGATGATTTAAAAGATTTAGAAGCTATTCCTTTCTGAGTAGACATCCATTTGAAATAAAGGGGTGACGATAAAGATTGTAATTCCTTTTTGATCGGTAAAAAAATGTCATCTTGATTGAAGGTACTGGAATAATGATCTTTAAAGGTAAATATAGACGGTCCAAATATTGAAGAAATTGATCAAAATTCATTAAAAATATCAGAAAAAGTAAAGAGTGTGTTTGAGATTTTATTTACAACAAATTAATTTTTTGTTCAATAATGCAAAAAAAATTGTCTGAAGTACAAAAAAAAAGGGGGGGGGAGAAAATGTAAAAAAGGAAGTCTTTATTATATATATTTACAACTGTAGATTTTATGTAAAATTTAATAATAGTGCTACATATGTGTACAAGCGTATATGAAAATGTATATTTCATTAGTACTATAATTATAACACAGATTACTTATCTACAGATTTATAATATGTTGATGTTGACGAAATAGCGTAATTAGATTATCTGTACAGTGTATCAGAATAGATTATTAACAAAACAGTTGATTTAGTGGCTCATTACAATCAAACATGATTCAATTCCAGAATTTAGGAACAATAAGCGATACTTCGCTCAATGATTAAGGTTACTTTAAATATTTCTCAAATTATTCGATCTTTTAATAAAATAATTTTCATAATATAGGTTTGATGATTCAAAAGATATGGAGTAATTACTTTGTATAGAATGATTAAATGAATTAACATAGACCTTATGCAGAAGTCCTGTCTGGACATTTTTTTTAATCCGACGTGTTTTATTTTGATAGTCTGCATGTTTTTTTGTTATTTTGGAGTGAATTTATGTATTGTATTGTATTATGCAGTATTATTATTTAATTTCTTGATTTTTGTTGATGTATAAATTATTTTATGGTATTGTCCAATAGATTTTTTAGCTCACCTGCCCAAAGGGCAAGTGAACTTATGTTATGGTAAGGCATCCGTCGTCCGTCTGTCCGTCCGGCCTCAACTTTTTGCTTTAAACAACTTCTTCTCAATAACCTAAAGGCCTAGGAAAATGATATTTGGCTAGTAGCATGCTGGGATCAAGGGCTACCAAGTTTGTTCAAATAAATGACCTTGACCCACTTTCAAGGTCACAGGGGTCAAATATGAAAAAATCTTCAAACAACTTCTTCTCAATAACCAAAAGGCCCAGGGTACTGATATTGGGCCTGTAGCATGCTGGGATGAAGGGCTACCAAGTCTGTTCAAATGAATGACCTTGAACCACTTTCAAGGTCACTGGTGTCAGTTTCTCAATAACCAAATGGCCCAGGGTACTGATATTGGGCCTGTAGCATGCAGGGATAAAGGGCTACCAAGTTTGTTCAAATAAACGACCTTGACTTATATTCAAGGTCACTGGTGTCAAATATGTTTAAAACCTTTCAACAATTCTTCTGAATAACCGATAGGCCCAGCGTGATGATATTTGGCCAGAAGCATGCTGGGATGAAGGGCTACAAAGTTTGTTCAAATAAACGACCTTGACTTATATTCAAGGTCACAGTGGGCAAATATGTTTAAAACCTTTGAATGACTTCTTCTTAATAAGCAAAAGGCCAAGGTTGATGATATTTGGCCATTAACATGCTGGTATGAAGGGCTACCAATTTTGTTCAAATAAATGACCTTTACTTATGTTCTAGGTCACAGGGGTCATATATATTTAAAACCTTTAAACAACTTCTTCTGAAAAACCAAGAGGCCTAAGGTGATGATATAAGGCCAGTAGCATGCTGAGATGAGGGTTTACAAAGTTTTTGATTTATATTCAAGGTCACAGTGGTCAAATATGTTTAAAACCTTTAACAGCTTCATCTGAATAACCAAGAGGCCAAGGGTGCCTTAATTTGGCCAGTAACATGCTGGGATAAATGGCTACCAAGTTTGTTCAAATAAATGACCTTGACTTATATTCAAGGTCACAGGGGTCAAATATGTTCAAAACATTTAAACAACTTCTTCTGAAAAACCAAGAGGCCTAAGGTGATGATATAAGGCCAGTAGCATGCTGGGATGAAGGGCTACCAAGTTTGTTTAAATAAATGACCTTCATCCATTTTCAAGGTCACAGGGGTCAAATATGTTCAAAACATTTAAACAACTTCTTCTGAATAACCAAAATGCCCAGGGTACTGATATTTGGCCTGTAGCAATCAGGGCTACCAAATTTGTTCAAATGAATGACATTGACCCACTTTCAACCTAATGTCATTGTTTGACATTCAAGGTCACGCTGATATTCTCCCTGTAGCTGTATTTTAGTCCACTTTTAAGATTACAAGAGTGAGATTAATACCAGGTGAGCGATGCAGGCCCATTGGGCCTCTTGTTTTATTTTCTTAGATTATTGTGTACTGTGTTATGACTTGGTAGATAGACACTTGAGATTGGGGTGATGATTGACTACACACACCATTACCAGTGCGTGCCTTCATACAGTGAAACCCGTTTACATTGAAAACAATCAGCACCAATAACACTCAGATTAGTCAATATAGTTAATGTATGGAAATGATACAGATCAAATTTGCACAGAAATAAACAGTTGGGCCTTCTGTTAAATTGCTATTTCTGTGGAAGATTAGTTTGTAAGTTAATTTGCAAAGAAACTCAAATATTTGAGAAATTGTTCTCTGTACATATTTATTCCAAAGATGGTTAATATCAGTGATGAAATAGCTCTTGCAAAAGAAATCAAAAAAAAACCTACTGAAATCACAAAATAAGGTATGCATGAACACTTGAGTGATTTTGTCTCTGCATAGGGGGCACTTTTTACGTCGGAAATAACATTTTGTGTTTAGCTCTGTTTTTACAACATTAAGTGCTAGACCTACCAAAGTTGCATCAGATACTGAATTTGCCAACGGCTAACATTTCTTAGTCAACTAACTTCAAAATATCGCATCAGTGTTAAGTTAATTTTTATCTGAATCTCAAATAAGTTGCTGTTGATGGTCAAAGGGTGATCATGCGAGACAGAATTCATGTGTTAATACAAATTATACATGGTTTTTGACTTGGTAAACTATAAATGGTCAAATTTTCTTACAACAATGTGTTCATCATCAAAAGCTTCATAGAGACACTGTTTAGGAAGACCATTTTATGTTATCCAACTTTTATTTGGTATGGGAAAGGTTCTTTTTTATGCAGTTTATGGTACTTTTCCATTCCAATTGTTGAAGGACTAAGCAATTCTTTTATTTTTCTGTGAAGAATCATGATTATGTCCTAAGATCAAAAGAAAGTACTTATGAGTTGCATGTAAGAGGATCGAGTTACAGAGTTCATACAAATACATAGTGCTGGCTTCTCCAGTCAGACGGGGTTTCCAAATAATCCGACGAGTGTTTTTAAGTGAACAAATAATGGGAAAATGTGTTATAATGATGAAAGATATAGTAAAATATCAAGTGGTTTTTTTTTTAAGTTTAATTGATGGGGCCATAACCAATCTTAATATTTTTATAACCATAGTACGCTGTGTTCTTAAAACAATAATGATTCGTTTCATTTAGTATTGTTGATATGCAGGCTATTGGCAGTTTCTGTGTCCTATTTGTTATGGAAAATATGAATCTATTTTTGTTAAGTGCCTTTCTAAGGAATAACTCAAAATATTAAGTTTGTTTCATACATTTAAATCATTCATCATTTGGATTTAGAGAAGCCGGAATCCTTTGAAAAGAAAAACACTGGTATCTGTATAAGATGAATGATCATGGCTACCTATTCTGTCTTTGCGTATTGCAGAGATATCTTCTCTTGTGAGTAGGTCATTTGTTTGTGAGAGTAACGTCAATTTTTGAGAAAACGACGTGATTTTCTCGCACAAACCAATGACATAACAATCAATACCTGCTCACAAGAGAAGATAACTCTGCAATACGCAAAGACAAAATATCTGTTTAGAGGACAATCCATCTATATTTCCTCGATATTCTCATATTCACCACAAATGTGTTCACAGAAGCATGCAATATTTTGTGTTTTCAATATTCAATTTATAAATAATACTGCCAATATATTTGCAATACTATATCTCATTTTCATCACAAATATGTTCCCAGAAAAGCATGCAATAATTTGTGTATTCAATATACGGTTTATAAATAATACTGCCAATATATATGCAATACTTCATTTTATTTTCATCACAAATATGTTCACAGAAAGTCATGAAATATTTTGTGTTTTCCACATAAAATTTACTTTAGCATCAATCATGATATATTTTTATACGAGATAGAACAATTTATTATTATTAAAGTGCCCAAACGTGTTCAAAACTTCATCAAGATATGCTCCATAATATATCTCATTTTCACCACAAATGTGTTCACAAAAAATCATGCAATATTTTGTGTATTCAATATAACATTTATAAACAATACTGCCAAGATGTGTTCAATACTGTATCTCATTTTCACTGCAAATATATTCACAGCAAATGATGCAATATTTTATAAACGATACTGCCAATCTATGTACAATACTCTATCTCAATTTCAACACAAATGTGTTCTTTGGTGCATATTCTGTATGATTTTTTGCATAAATAATGAAATATTTTTAAATAAGATTGAAAAATTTATTATCAAGTGCCCAATGTGTTCAAAACTTCATATACCTGTATGTTAAAACCTATCATGAGAACTAGAGAGTACATGTATTTGCGAAGGACGTGATTTGTAATTGATTTTGATGTTCACAAGACAATCCTTGTCTAGAAAATATGACTTGGTAATCAATGATTACAGGACATTTTAATGAAACCGTCATAAATTGTGCATTCAAATGTGAGTATTTAAGCCCTTATGCTTGTGATGTCATCGGTATATGACTGTTATCAGCAGTAACAAGCTTGTTTTACTTAAGTTAACCAGTTATCAAATGATACGCTTTATATTTAAGTCCTCATGCTTGTAATCATCCTCGATACTCTATGGTAACGCTCTTTTTTTTGGCTCTCTGCAACCCTGGTATATGTCATGACAAAATTGAAGGATCAGTGTGCACAGTTTAACCCTTTGATGTATATCAATGGATTCAGAGGCAGCATAACGGTAAAATTCACCGGGTTTGAAGTTGGATGTTGCTCCTCTGAAATCTTCAAAGGACAGGTATCTGCCTAGTGATTGGTCATGTTTATTTATTTTTTTGGTGACCTATCGAGTAGCAGGGGGTGCATGTCTTCAATTTTGACAAGACGTATTCCAGGGGTGCAGAACGGGTGAGGGAAACCACTTAAATATTGAGTATGGTTTGTAATGTTATCGGTTTAAAAAAACAAAAATACACAACGTTATTATCACTCGCTGTGTTCACCATACTAGGTCAGTGTGGGGGATCTCTTTCATTTTGTTATGTTTGTGTTNTTCAGAGGCAGCATAACGGTAAAATTCACCGGGTTTGAAGTTGGATATTGCATCATACATATTCATTTGGATGCATTTTCCATACATACGTTTCGATTGCCCTTCTATGGCCAGGCCTATTTTTCATCATGCATGTTCATAACAGTGGCCTTGTCACAGTCAAAATAATTCTCCATCCGACATATTCATCAGTTGTCATTTTCATGCATTTTCACGAGTCATTCACCCAGTCGTCCTGTTGTCTGTTTGATTACACCAGACTGCAGCGCTGTTTTCAATAAATGTCATCAAATATAGTTGTTGTTTATATTATTTATTGATGAGTATGGCTGAAATTGTATTCATTTAAAGGAATAACAATTGTATAGAAATGAAGTACTTAATTGCCTGAAGTGCTATGGAGTTATTTGAATAACTTTTCGCAAGTTGCAAGGTCACAAGAGTGAAAAATCTGGAAACAAATAGTATCAGCTCCCCTAATTAGAGGATACATGAGCTTATTCTGTGACGGCGTCCATCAAGTTTTACTTTGATCAACTTCTAAAGAACCAAAAGTTCTAAAGTCATTTCGCTTGTAGCAGCCTGGGGCCTAGAGTTATGATACTTGGCTGGTGGCTTACATTTGGGGGGAAAATTGATCTATGAAAATCACAAGGAACAAATGTGTACTAAAATATTCACCATCAGCATCTGAATAAGTCAACGTAGAGGCCTAGAGTGATGATTCTTGGCCAGTAGCATGCTATAAAGAAACGATTTGTACAAATAAGTGACCTTGACCCTTATTCAATGTCACGTGGTTATAATGTTTTAAACCATGACGCATCTTTCGAAGAAATCAAGAGACCTTTGTTTAAAATGTGAAAATCAGATGTTCCAGAGTGATAGCATTTGGTAATTTGCATTCTTTGATGAAATTCTATCAAATTTGTTTAATTTAAATGAGTGACCTTGATTAGCTTTCAAGGTCACAGGGGTTCAACGATTTGAAACATAAAAGACTCTTTGACTAAGACCCTAGGGTGCTGATAATTGGCAAGCAGAATGCTGTGATGAGCCATTATTTTGTTCAAATCAATGATCTTGATCGACTTTGGATTAAAGCATCTAAAAACATAGGATGTATTTTGCCTGTAGTATTGTTAATTAGATGTCCATCAAATATGTTTCAATGAATAACCTTCACATAATTTGAAAGTTCAAGAGGTCCAATATGTCCAAATCCATAAACGGGTTATTGCCATTCAGCTTGATTGTGTGATAACTAATAATTGATTTTTTTTTATTTCCCAACAAACCATACACGAGTAACTCGTCCAAAATCTCCCTGTATCGCAAATGTTAACAACTCTATGAGTCGTGTTAGAGTGAGGGAACATACATGCACGCATGGGCCTATAAAATTGATTACACAATCATCCCATGCTAAGTTGTTGGGACTATGAAATTCCAGCGATTGTGACCTAAGCTGTGAAATAAACAAGAGGCACAATGGCCCAGTATCGCACTCTTAACCTTAAAAATTGACTAAAATAAAGCTACAGGCAAAGTATCGGTATTTGTGACTATAAATCATTCAAAAGAACCTAATTAAAACACATTTGACCCCTGTGAAAATCTAACAAGGTCATTATGGTGAACAAACTTTATAGACCTTCATCTCAGCATGTACCTTGCCAAATATCACCACATTAGACCTTTTGTTTATTGAGATTACGTCATTTAAAAGTGTATACACATTTGACTAAATGTGACCTTGAAAGGTCAGTCATCCAAGCATGTAACTGGCCAAATACCAACATTTTTTGCCTTTTGTTTTTAAGCATTTGACTCACGTGACCTTGGATATGTAATTCAAGGTCATTCATTTGAACAAACTTGATAGCGATTCATGCCAGCATGTTACTGGTCAAAATTCAGAAGTTGTTTGAAAGTTTTTTTAAGAGAATTGACACTTGTGACCTTGAATATATGTCAAGGTCATTGATTTGAACAATTTGGTAGCCCAATTTGAACAAGCTTGATAGCTCTTCATGCCAGCATGTTACTTGCCAAATATCACCCTGGGCATTTTGGTTCTTCAGAAGTTGTTTGAAAGATAATTGACCCCTGTGACCTTAAGTAAAAGTTTAGGTAATTCATTTGAACAGGCTTGGAAGTCCTTCATACCAGCCTGCTGCTGGCTAAATATCAACATTCTGGGCCTTATGGTTATACAGAAGAAGCCGTTTAAAGACATAAACCATATTTGACCCCCCTTTGACCTTGAATATGATTCAAGGTCATTGATTTGAATAAACCTGGAAGCCCTTTATCCGCGCATGTCACTGGCAAAATACAGCCACTCTAGGCGTTTTGGTTATTCAGAAGTCGTTAAGAGGTTTGAAATATATTTGACCCCTGTGACCATGAATATAAGTCAACGTCATTAATTGAACAAAGTTGGTATCCCTTATCAACATTATGGGCCTGATACCGCAGCACGGCATACGCTTCGGGCCAGGTAAGCTAAAAAGGAAGTATCACGTGACAAATGTTTGCACCGCACGCGCATACAGTAGAAACTACAACAAATTCCTGGATTTGAAAAAAAAAAATGGAAAAAGTGACAATTATTTTTTAAACATTTCTCATCTTCACTAGATCTTCAACTGTACATGCTTATTATATGTATTTCTGAAGTATATTACGGAGACAATTACAAGTCATATGTATATTATCTAAAATATTATATTGAAGTCAAAGGTCGACTTTGAGAGATTGCGAAGTGAAAGGTTATTTTCTACTTTGGATAGAAAAAATAGAGCTTTAAAGATCGTCACTATTTTGACCAGTAGCTACCTGGGGTGAAGAAATATAGAGTTTACCTCATATCAATGAAGAACTTATTAGCTCACATGTCTGAAGGGCGAATGTAACGTTATGCTAGAGATTCAAAACCGTACATATTGGGGGTTTGGACTTCTCTAACACTATTGATATCAACCATTATATTGGTTGGGATCATTTTTAGGTGTTAAACTAATTACATAAGGTCGAAATCCAACATAACTGGAAGTCCCTCCTTAGTAACAGATGTAGGTGTAAGGGAAATAACTCTTAAAGGTTTAACCATGAAAGATATGAATAAGGCAGTAACAATGATAGGCCTAGTGCAAAACGGTTTATTTCTTTGATTCGCTTGAACTTTTTCACAACATTAATTTCGCGTAAGAATATAAGATTTTATAGAAATCCGATTTTTTTTGTCGTCTGTAATGAATTAATGTGATTTAGGGTTTTATAACTTTTATCCACACAAAATAATTTCAATCTTGTCGACAAGTAGCCTATAAGTTACGTATAAAGGACCAGGGGCGTATTTACTTCCGGCTTTACACATCTCTGAAAGGTATCGGTAAATTAAAGTCTTTATTACTTTACATTATTTAAAACTTTTTTTTCCTTTTCTTCATCCCCGATTGTTCAAATCCATATTTACCGCCGCGTTATCGCCAGTGTTGGTTAACGTTTTGGTGCAGTGTTAACATTCATTAACATGGCCTTCAGTATCTTCAATAAGATTAACCAGTATCCTCACGGAATTAGATTAGTCTATCTAAGTACTCGGTATCCTTCAATATTTGTGAAAGGTACCCTAGAGGTTCAACATTGATTCTTTGCAGTGGAAAAAAACGGTGCTGAGACCAGTCTCGATTTCCCTATATAGTTCTACATACTATCTCATGTGTTGACCGTAGAGACCTGATAATTTGATTGTAACAGCTATACTTGCGATATCAGTTAATGTGTTTAGAGTAGTTTTACAGGTATAGGGGTTAAGTTCAATTTTCAGTAAGAATGCCACCCCAAATGATGATATATCGTATATCGTCATCAGCCAATATCTCGATTCATGTTAAAACTTTGGTGCAGATGATTGAATTCGTTAAAGTAACACTAGGTTAGTGCTAGATATAATTGGCAAATAGATTGTATCCTTGTCAAACATTGATGCAGTTCATTTGGTTACAACTGATAAAAATACGGTACTTTATATTTTAAAGTTTGGACCAGTTTTGGACTTTAAAGAAGAAAAAATATATTAATTCTTTTCATCTAAATTTCTATGCCAACATAGCAGGTTATGTTGAAAATCACTGTAAATATAACATTTGCAATATTTTCACATGATGTTGATAAATAATCAGAAAGTCTAAATATGTTCAATAGACATGCTTTTATGGAGGAAAGAAGACACGGACGCTGACCTCTGTACCTGCAGCCATCTGTTTCGTTCCGCCTAATATTCTTTAGAATTTTATAACACCCGTTGCCAATGGACAACAACATTCGGAATTCTTCTTATGAAACGTTGTGGGCATGCTAAACGTCCGAGGTATTCTTGGCCAGGGAAAACAGATCGCGACTTGTTTTTTGGAAATCATGTCCCGGATAACATCAACATTTGGAAAAGTAGATGGACTTAGGTCTTCAGAGAAACTGCAGGGAGGTAGGTTGATGCATTTGCATAATAAAAGACTAGTTATATTTCATCTGCATCTGTGTTCCCTTCGTATCCTACTCAAATGTTCACACGTTTATTCCCCCCGTCCCTGGCTGTACCTACAGTAGTCTAACTTGTTGTTGTAAACCTTTCCACCCCTTCAAGAGCGGGTCTATCTGAAGCTCCGCCTCTTTTGTGTCAAGTAATACCTCTATGTATGTCAAAAGTTTGTTAATACAAGTATCAGCCTACTATCACATAGCGGTGATTGATACACTGAAAGGCTTCACAAACGACAAGAATTGTGTGTTGGGTGGCTTTACTCATTGTGTGTATTGAACTTTTTTTTGAAGTATTTTAGACCATAACAAGACCATACTAGAGAACCTGTGTGACAGCCGTTGTGTATGAAGTCACTCTAAAAAGTCTTAAGGCAAATCAACTGAAATATTTGATAAGTTATTGAAAGTATGGCAGACAGTGGGAGGATTACCATGCCAATAGGCGTCCAACCACCAGACGTTCTTGAATGGTCAAGAACCCTTCGCTCACGAAGTCCATCACCAACAAGAATGAATGGCCTGAGGTCTCGGAGTCCATCTCCGACCAGACTCTCGAGTGCCAGAGGTGCGTAAAAAGCTGGATATATATATATGACCAATATTCACAACTTGTGTATAGATTTACGCATGTTACAATTTTTTTTTATTTCACATTTCACAACTTCATAGCGCTTTATATTCCATTCAGCAGATTTTGTAACAGGTTTTTTTAACAGAAACATGTAGAAGCATGTTTTTGCATCAGTAACTGTAAAATAATCACAGGAATGCATGACGTTTAATATTAATGTTTATATATAAAGCTTAACGAAATTCATTGAATATCTAGATGCAAAATTTATACATGTATGTAATTTTTTGGTCTTGGCATGTATATATACGCCAACAGCTTTAACAACATGAAGACTGACGGAAAGTTTAATCACATCTGTGTTTAGGAGATTATATATTGTGACCTCTCAAAAGGCATTTAAATGTCTGTGAAAAGTTACATGATAAGGTAGACTTTTAACCTTTACACCAACACGGGAGAGAGAAAGAAATTTAACTAATTGTTACTAAAACTCATTCAGTGGTGTTTCAGCATGACTTTAACACAGGGAAGTTCTTTTCCAATCACTATTAGTAAGGTGTCATGCAGTTGTCTTTTATAGTGAGATTCTCATTGTTAAGTAATATGTAAGTAATACATAGGAAGAAATACATTATGGTAAAGCCAGATCTGGATTAGCATGACTCATGAGTGACCTCCCTTATAAAAGTTATTTTCCTGGTCAATGAAGACTGTTTCTTTAAATATTTTTTTTAATATTCTTTTAAATTCTTTTACTAATTAATTGATTAGATTTATATTCATGCAATGCAGTTACGCAAACATGATAGTTTTTGTACTGGTATAAACATCAACGTTGATGTCACATTTCACCAATAAGAACATCAAACAAACTCATTATGGTATTCCTTTTTTGGGTATACCTAAAAATGTATAGTGTTAGCAGAATTAAAAATGATATAAAGTTCATGTATCATATAGATCCTTTTAGACTATTCCTTCTTTGCGTATTGCAGAGTTATCTTCTCTTGTGAGTAGGTATTGATTGTTACGTCATTGGTTTGTGAGAGTAACGTCATCAATTTTTGAGAAAACGACATAATTTTCTCACACAAACCAATGACGTAACAATCAATACCTGCTCACAAGAGAAGATAACTCTGCAATACGCAAAGACGGAATACCAGTGCTGATTTAAAATTAAGAATAAAAAAATTAGTAAATTTGGGTTAGTGCTGTTTGAATATATAACGGTAGAGAAAGTGGAAAACTGCCCCAAAAATCACACTTTTTTTGTTTCATCATCAATGGAATATTCCTTAATAAACTTTGGCTTTCTGTCTCAGTGGTTAATAGTTTAAGTTTAACAATTGAGTAAAGTTGTGCAAACAGGAATGATACACGTAGTAAATTTCCATCTACCCGTGTTGACTGACTTTATTTTTCATCAGTGGAGGCAAATTTTATAAAAGATAGTTCAGAAAGTTAGAAACAAAGGGACTGTAACCGTTCTAAGCATTTCTATATCTAATTAAAATTGGAGTTTTAAATCTGCTCCTCTACGATACCTTCCAATACATGTATTGCAGTGTATCATAGAAGAGTGGAATTACAAGTCAGCATTTCTGAAGCATTAATATATTTAGCGGATTCCATTCTGGTATGGCTTATTATAACCTCAGATTCAGGGAATGTGTAACCCCCTATAATAATCTTCCTTCTGTGAATTCTGTCCATTTTTATTTTGGCACATTAACTTAAATTTTATTCCATTTTGGTAAAATTTTGTTACCATGTACAAACAACAAACCCAATGCCAAGTTCAAACTTGATCCATACATAGGTTTTGATACTGTAATCACATTCAACAGGATTTTGATAAAACATTTTTGGAATATTCAAAGATAAAGGCTTACCGTAGTTCAAATTTTTGGCACATTCTGCCATTGTGTATATATCTAAGTTACACTCAGCAATTTCTTTGATTAAATATGTGATGATCATATAATTTTCACAAGAAATTCATTTTATTGCAATATATTTAATGGAATTCAGATCAATTTATCTTTATCAAATAAATTACCAATATGAGCAATTATGAATTAAAAATATAAAATTGGTAAGAGTTAATGACTTATATACATGTATTGATTAAAAATCTGGTATATATTAGTATATACTTTGGTCATGTAATCTGTTTTCCCCACCCAAATGCCTTTTAGAAATTATACGTTTATAAACTATAGATTTTTTACATCCACATCTGATACCAGAAGTTGTAGTGGATTGATGAACTACAAACACATAATTGTTAAGAATAACAAACAAAAAAGTGTTAAACATAATATACACTAAAAACAAATATTGTGTAAGGTAACTTTTAAAACTATAACTGCGGTATGTATGTTTTTTGGGTTCAACTTGGTATTTAAACAGATATATATATATTACTAGCTTACATTATATTGAGATGTGGTATAAAACCTGTCTAGCTTTGCACAAGCATATTTGGGTATAAAGGATGTGAATTCAGGCAAAAGAAATCATTCATAAATGTCTAAGAGATGAACCTAATATTTCAACAATAGAATCTAATCAGAATATATATGGATCTGTGACTGTAAATACAACTGTCGAAAACCCTGCGCGTGGCAGTACTAATTAAAGGAGCCAGTCGTTTTAGTTCTTTAGAATTCAAATAATGATACCGCACAACCGCTGTTTGTTCATGATATCTCTGTATGACAATATTTAATTACTTGTTGAACCCTGCAAAACTAAGATTATTCCTCCATAAATCAAGGTATTAAAGAGCTGAAAAATGTATTTGAAAACAGGCTGATCAATTTGATCATGTACTAGCTGTACCAGTAAATATCGTTGATTAGTTTCTGATGAAAAAAATCTTTAAGTTATTTTCTAAACAAAACAATAAACTAGACTCGGTACATTCCCGCTAGGTCAGGTTTCAAACCTTGAACTAGAGATGATCTCAAATTTCACCTACCACTACATGTCGAATTGGGTCTACTTTAAAATGCATGCTTTGCTTAGAAATCACATTCAGTGTGTATTTTTGTTAATTTTATGCAAATTTTTTGTTTTTATTTTATTTTGGGGAAAAAACACCAACAATAAATAAATAAATTAAGAACAAATAATTTTACCTGAAACGAAATAACGCACAATAAAATTTCGTCCTGAAAGGAGATTCCTGACTTAATCTTAAGAACTATCTGCTTTCGGGTACAAAGGCTTGGTCCTGTTTAGCAGGGGTCTATCAGTAAATCACAGATCTAGCTGAAAAAGATTGCGCTCGGATCAGCGATTTCATTCAACACCTTTTGGCTATTGTGATTGACAGTCTCAAGAATGTCCACTCTGAGACGGATGTGTAATTCTGTCAGTCTGCATTTGTATTTAAATTAGGTATTAGTGCTCATTAAATATTCATAAAAAATGGACAAGTCTAATGTATTAACAGGTAGATGTAGGACAGGATTAAATTGTAAATTTGGCAACTTTCCGGTTTACTCGTGTTAACCAGTGTAAATAGCCCTAAAGTGTTTAAGATTTGCCAACAAACAAAGAGCTAAACTTAGTCTGTGAAATACCAAAACATCGGTAAGTACTGATCAGTATGGAAATTTAGTTTTGTGCCGTCACTTTTAACCTTCGTGTGGTTCATCGATCTCAGTAGGGTACGGATTTCATAAAAAAATCTTTCTGTATGCCATGCATTATAAAGTCGGTTTGTTGGTCTTTAAATTGACATAGTTTAATACAGTGTATGCTAAGACTTGATCGAACATGATCAAAATTTAAACTGGTTGGGTTTGTCTCTGACATTTGTTCTCTATATTGAATGCTAAAGTAATTATTCAATTTTAGAGGAATCTGGATCAGCTGAAATTTCCCAAGAGTATTAAATTTTGAGTCTTTTTATTCTAACAAAACAGACCAATGTGACAGTTATGTTCAATTGAAGGGCAGGCTAGAATTTTTGAATACAAGGCACATATCTCCTTCCACTCAAGCTTTTTTTCTTTCTTGAAGTCTGAAGTTCTGTAATAACAAAGAAATAAACCAGTTGGATGATTATTTCTTTTACATTCTTACATATTTTTTCAAAAGTGTTTGTGATTTTTCATTTTTTTCATAAACAATAATGAATAGATCTGGTAAAATGTCTAGCATATCAGCAAATTAGCAGATTTTCTGTTGTATATTTCATTTTTACTCCTGGCCATTGAAAGACTCACTTTATAGCAATCACTCATGATATGCAATGAATATAAATTGATATAATTTCACAGGTCATATTCTGTGATTTGCCAATATATTCCCCATCTGTTAACTGGTATAAAATACAGTACATTGCTTGTTCCTGCATACCTGAATACTTAACTTTAGATATTCCTTAGCTTTGTACATGTCTAAACTAAAATATATAAGGGGAGATAATCCATTAACTTGCCGATATCATCATATAATTTTATATTTTACTGAGATATTGTACTGGTATTATGTTGGGCAGTATATGTATATATGTATGTTGAGTATTCATAATATATTTGAATGTATGTTTAACCTCGTGTACAATTGTTAACAAACTATTTCAGACGAAAACGAATCTGCTTCACACAAAGGTAACATTCCAGATATAAACATCCGCTGTTGATTGACAAGTAGACATGCTCTGTCCACAAGCTTTCACTTCAATCCATCTCAAATTTTTTTATTCCAAAATGATTTAAATTTCACAAAAACAAAATTTGAGAACAGACAGATTTTGCTGCACTATGGTAATGGTCTGTATATGGTCTTTATCACCCCTTTTCAAATGGGTTTGGGTAGATTTTTGTCTACTAGACAAAAAGAATCAAGATAAACTTAAATATTTTTTTTATTGGTGGAATATTGTTGGGCGGGAGGGGAGAGATTGCCTACTTGCATCTCAAACCTTTCTTTTCTTAGCAAAGAGCTTTGCTGTCGTTAATTTCCTGTAAATGAGCTGGACATATATTAGAAACTTATATGTACTTATATGTTTTAATCACAAAACCAATTGGATTAACATGTTAAAATGGATGTCCAGGTCTCCTCGTTTAGATAAGCAAACATTCCTATAAATCGTATATCCAGAGGGGAAAATGCAGCAGTATTAAATCTGATATCAGTTTGAAAAGCCAAATTTTTATCCAACAGATAGGTTTTCTTGCTTATGAAATTTCAGTCATTTTGGAAATTTAATTAAACATTAAGGCTACATCTGATATGCACAAACTGCACCTAGATATGCCAGAGACACCTTGAATTGTGACGTAACCCTTCTGCGATTACGATTTACGATTTCCCCTAACATTTCGTACAGTGGTACGGATCCTGATTATTGTATGTGTTGTGAACATTGTCTTTCAAAACACCAGTTTTTTCTAATTGTGATAATCCATTAGTGATATCTGCAGTCTCATTATGCAGAAGCTATCTTCTACTGAAATCAAAGTGTCTGGACTTGAGTTGATAATTCATATATCAGTAGATCCTGACGATGATGAATCAAATATTTATAGCTTGAGGAAAAAAAATGGCATTTCTTAAAAATTATGAAAGGGTTATGTCATTTGATTTAAATAAATACTAGTAGATCTAGATATATTGGCAGATTTCTAAAGCATGCTATTTAATTATGATGTTTGTGACCATAAATGATGTATTAAGAGTCCATATACTACAATATGTTTCTGTGATATTATTATTGTTACAATCTGTCTATCCTGTTCTCAACCTCCTGGCTAGATAAAACGTCAGTGTATTTCCTGTAGTATCTAGTCTAGTTTACATTACTCCATGTGTCTGATACATACCAGTACACCATACTCAATACTCCAGGGGTTACGCTCACTTACACTCTCTACACCCCCGGAATATGTCATAACAATATATACACCTGTGGAATATGTCATAACAATATCTACACCTGTGGAATATGTCATAACAATATCTACACCTGTGGAATATGTCATAACAATATCTACACTAGTGGAATATGTCATAACAATATCTACACCCCTGGAATATATCATAACAATATCTACACCCCTGGCATATGTCATAACAATATCTACACCTGTGGAATATGTCATAACAATATTTACACCACTGGAATATGTCATAACAATATCTACACCTGTGGAATATGTCATAACAATATCTACACCCCTGGAATATATCATAACAATATCTACACCCCTGGCATATGTCATAACAATATCTACACCTGTGTAATATGTCATAACAATATCTACACCTGTGGAATATGACATAACAATATCTACACCTCTGGAATATGTCATAACAATATCTATACCTGTGGAATATGCCATAACAATATCTACACCCCTGGAATATATCATAACAATATCTACACCCCTGGCATATGTCATAACAATATCTACACCTGTGGAATATGTCATAACAATATCTACACCTATGGAATATGTCATAACAATATTTACACCACTGGAATATGTCATAACAATATCTACACCCCTTGAATATGTCATAACAATATCTACACCCCTGGAATATGTCATAACAATATCTACACCTATGGAATATGTCATAACAATATTTACACCACTGGAATATGTCATAACAATATCTACACCCCTTGAATATGTCATAACAATATCTACACCTGTGGAATATGTCATAACAAAAACTACACCACTGGAATATGTCATAACAATATCTACACCCCTGGAATATGTCATGACAAAAACTACACCCTTAGAATTTGTCATGACAAAAACTACACCCCTGGAATATGTCACGACAAAAACTACACCCCTGGAATATGTCATGACAAAAACTACACCCCTGGAATATGTCATGACAAAAACTACACCCCTGATATATGTCATGACAAAAACTACACCCCTGATATATGTCATGACAAAAACTACACCCTTAGAATATGTCATGACAAAATCTACACCCCTGGAATATGTCATGACAAAATCGATGGCTCAGTGATCTCCAACTTGTGAAGAGACAAGAATATAAGTTTGATGTACATCAAAAGAATCTCGCAGTTGCGTAACAGTAAAATTGACATAACTTGAAGATGGGGTGTTGATCCTCTTTAATCTTCAAAAGAAAAGTATCAGCCTAGCAATTGGTCAAGTTTTTTTCCCTGTGAACAATCAACTAGTTTCTGTGTGCCTTCAATTTTGCTATGACGTGTTCCAGGGGTGCAGAGAGTGTAAGTGAGCGTAACCCCTGGAGTATTGAGCATGCAAGTACAACTACCTGGTAGCAATATAACAAGGACTGTACTTGATGAAACAGAAAGCATTTTATATGAATTGGAAAGATCAAAAGTTATCTAGTAATTAGGAATAATGTGCATACTCCTGTAAGTTTTGTGTTCTGTGTTGTTTGTTGTACAATTTTAAAAATTTGTTTGTTATTTTTGTTCTTGGTTGTGTATTTCACGTTTGTGATTTAGCAGCCAATTAGTTCCGATTGTCTTTGTTAATATTTTGTTTAAGCTGCCGTTTGTGAAGCCTTTGATGTAGACATGGTAAAAGTTAGCAAACCAACCTGACATTGTATAAACTTTCCTTTGTTTTACACATTTCCAATCTCTTCATTTAGAACTGAAATCCACGCACTATGTATAATGTTCAAATACTGTATTTCAGTGTCATTATCTTATACATTATATCATTTCAATGTTGTTTGGTAATACACTATATCACTTCTTCCCCGATTCCTCGATTAGACATGAACATTTCTTAACCAGCCTGTCCACACTGGTTTTCTCTGGCTGTTCTGGTCTCCAAACATACTAACATTCCTTATGCACTTCCATCTGAGCTCATAGAATCACTTATATAAGTTGATAATTCTATTTATGATAAATGGAATAACAATGTGGTACCACTTGTTACTAATGTGTTAATTAAGACAGGTACTATTACACCTGTGTATTGAGTGAGGTAATCAACAGGTAAATTAGAAAACCTGTGTATTGACACAGGTAAGCAACTGGTAATATAATACCTGTGTATTGAGATAGGTAATCAACAGGTAATATATCACCTGTGTATTGACACAGGTAATCAACTGGTAATATAACACCTGTGTATTGAGATAGGTATTCAACAGGTAATATAACACCTGTGTATTGAGATAGGTATTCAACAGGTTATATAACACCTGTGTATTGAGATAGGTAATCAGCAGGTAATATAACACCTGTGTATTGAGATAGGTAATCAACAGGTAATGTAACACCTGTGTATTGAGATAGGTAATCAACTGGTAATATAACACCTGTGTATTGAGATAGGTAATCAACAGGTAATATAACACCTGTGTATTGAGATAGGTAATCAACAGGTAATATTACACCTGTGTATTGAATACAAACCCAATGAAACTACTGCCAGGTTTTGACAGTCCTGTAAACTGAGTATGGGCCACTGACAGGTAATGTATTAGGGCTGTACGTGTATTAAAGCATGTGTAGTTTACAATACATTAGATATAGATGTGATTACAGTATCCTAGTTAGCAGTAATGCTAATTAACCTTCTCAATCTTTTACTTACTTTCATTTTAGCATGTTTATACTCTGTTCACAAATTTATCAGGGTTCAATGTTTGTGATTAATGTATTCAATGCAATAAATACTCTTCCGTGCCCTTCCCTATTATAACTTTACCTTGCCCAAAGGGACAAGTGAGCTTAATCTGAGGCACAGAGTGTATTGTCTGTCTATCGTCAACTATTCCCTAGAAGGAGCAACTGAAGGAGTTTTGAGGATATTTGGTCTATAGCATTGTTAGGTGAAGGGTACCCAATGTTGTATAAACCACATCCTCCTCAGTCAGTAGGATGGGGCCCAATATGGGAAATTAAGATAAATGCTAAAAATGCTACTCCTTAAGTACCAGTAGAGGTAATTTCACCAAATTTGGTATGGAACATCCTTGGGCCAACAATGGAACAATGGAAGATGCGGCCCTCAGCCTGCTCTACTTCTGTGTTGATGAAGGAAATTATACCAAATTTGATATAAGAGCATACCTGGGTCAAGGGGTTTCAATAATGTTTAATAAATGGAGGATATGGAAGAGATGGGTCAGGGCCCACTTAGGGAAATCAAGGTAAATCTTTCCAATCCTGATACAAAGTAGTTTGATTATATGCTGTAATCATTAAAGTCAATATTTTTGTTGATACTTCTGATGGCATCAATAAATCATTGATAGCAGCGAAACCAATTTTACACCCACAAACTGCAGGTACAGTATGGCTGATATCCTATTCTATTGGGTATACTGTATTCTGATCTCAAGCCCATAATTAGAAAATAAAAAATCTGGAAAAAATATGATCAGATGGATTTGAAAACAAATTTGGTCCTTGAATGCCAAAATGGCTTATCGGGTTGGCACTAAAAAAAGTGTGGTTTTGGCAACATGAAACCAGCAATTTCTTTTGGCCTCAGCATGAACACAGTCATGGTACCATGCTTAGCTCAGGGATCCGACTCCACCCCTGGGTACTTAATACCAAGGTCATAACTTGGAACTGACAGAGAGCATTACCTTCAATCCCTATTCACATATACATATCTCATCAAAATTTGGAATGAAGCTATACAGGCCATTAGAGCCTTTTGTTTCACATTGTTAGTCCAGGCTAATGTAGTTTGGAAGAATTTTGTTTGTAATGCAAGATTTTGACGTCATGAAGACAAATTTATCACCTGTCTTTACTCTTTATATTGAAAAATCAAAGTGACAAACTACCATGAAATAATTATACATTGTATTTCATAATTTAAGTTCAGACAAAAAACTTTAATTTTATAAAATTGCATATCGTCATTTTTTTTATTATTCATTTACACAAATTTTTCACTTATTGTGATTCTGTTGTGCTAGGAGTCTATATGACGGACGTCCCAACCAGTGCAGGTCTACCAAAATATTCTGTCAACAAGATGAAGAAGTCAAAATCTGGCTCCAGTGCTGGACTGCGGAAATCTACGGGAAGTCTAGCTGCGACATTTAACGGGACAAGTAGCAGTGGGTAGGTTGTGTGAATCAAGAATGGGTTTTACTGCATTCTGAATCTTTTTGTGTTCTGTGTAATATTTTCCCATATTTTTGTGAAGATAAATATAGAACTTGAATTGAGTGAATGTGGCAAAGTGGAGCCTCGATGGGCCGGCGACCTTTATTTCTAATTTCAGCAAAAGTGTCTTGATTGTCAGATTGCTGGATTATTGGGACAGATGTAAGGCTAATCTGTTCTCTTAAATATTTGCTGTATGATGGCACAACTTGTCCCCTACATCACGAAGTTAAAGAAGCCATGTATTAGAAGATTTTAATCGGATTGGGAAACTTTTCCTCTAAATTACTCTTCTCATTGTTGGGAGATGGCTTTCTGTATAATTTTATATTATGTACAGCATATTTGTAAATAAAATATTGTTCAAACTGAATTACTGGCTGCACCATGGGACCACAGGTTTAATGGCATTCAAATTAAGGAGGTATGATGATATATTGTCAATTTGATAAAACATTGTTAATCTCTCCGGGTTTTTTTCCCTTTCATGACTTCATCTTCTCAGAAGTAAGGTGTTACGTATTAAATACTAAAGATTGGCTTCTATATGAGCTTGGTGTTTTGAGTAATTAATTATAAGTGAGCATTTTGTTTGCACAGGAAGCTGAATAAGTCGGGGTCTGGGACCCATGACTTAGGAAACATCGAGGCAGAGTACATAAAAAATCTACAACAGCAAATCTACTTCCTGGAGCTGGAGTCCAACTATCTATATCCTTTTTTGTGCTTGCAATTCCTACACTGTGGTCAGTATAGAAAGTAGGACCTGAAAGTCCAATTCAATAGATTTCAAGCAAGAAAAGTGCTACAATAAAAAGACTGTTTAAATAAGATTTAAAACTATAAATAAAGATAACCTTTAAATTATTTAGACTTACAGTATTTTTTCTATTTTTTTTCAATTTTTACAATCAATAACAACATAAAACCCATAATTTTAGGTATTTGATTCATCAATAAAAGTTTGAAAAAAAAATTGCACGAAAAAATTTCAAAACCTGTGATGGCTATACATCCTCAATATTCACTTTGGCTCTTTGCACCCCTGGAATATGTCATAGCAAATTTGAAGGCTCAGTGTATGACCCTTTGTGGATGAGACAAGAGGACTGGTTTGATCCTTTAATGTACATCAAAAGAATCTCATGGTCTGTAATGGTAAAATTGAGTGGCTTTGAAGTCGTTGTCTCCCCTCTGTAATATTCAAAGGACAAGTATCAGCCTAGCGATTGGTCAGGATTTTTTAACATGAAACCAATCAAATATCTAGCCGTGTGCCTTCAATGTTGCTATGACATATTCCAGAGGTGCAGAGAGTGAAACTGAGCGTAACCCCTGGAGTATTGAGGATGATGGCTATATTGCATTGCTGTAGTTCTCCTAGAATATGTTAATTGTTTTGAGAGACCGCCCTTACTGACAATAAGTGTTCTTCCTAGACCCAACACTGGTGCTTTCCATTTATACTACTTATAATGTAGTCCTTGATATATAAATAAAGACCTTTGAAAGCAATGATCTCTCAGTAAAGTTTCGGCTACATAAAAACACAGTATGTTTAACTTATGATTAGTTTGACCTTGACCTCTGCGTACTCGGGAGCAGGCACGCAAGGCGACCGAGATGCACCCACACATGACTGCTGAGGCAGAAAGAATGCTCGTCAAATTAAGAGTAAGAAATAAAATTGTTTGATATTCTCATCAGCTGCATAATATGTTACACTGTTCTTCTTATTGTTTTTGGCCCATTTAAAAATAATTGCTGTCATAACGACAGGAACTTCTTCAATGTTTTGTTCTTCAACCTTCAAAGTAAATTTCCTTATTACTAAATATAAATAAGTATTCACTTCATTTACCGAAAGTGAATTTAGGACAAGGGTTGTAAATATAAATATCTGCCACACTGATACCTGAGGCACGATAAATACTTGATGGTACATCCATATATTTCACCGTGATTTGGAATGTTAAAAAAATCATTTTAGTACTATTATAGAGGTCCCATTATTTGTTTTATATTTTTTTTTTCACATTTCTGAATTTAAATCAAATATCTGTGTTTGTTTAAGATATTGAACTTCTATACAAAAACAAAGTGATGATTTTGTACTCCTTTTTAAAAAATCAACCCTGAAAAATATGTTAAGTCCCTTACAGTACTTAATGTACATTCATACTGGTGATAAATATTGATGTGTGTGATGGTTTTGTAGGCAATGCAGTCAGAGATGGACAATGCTCAGTTAGAGTGTAAGAGTAAAGACTCGTCCATCGCTCAGTCCATCTGTGAGAGGGAGAGACTGGCAGAACGAATTAGGGACGAAGAAGGTATCAAATGAATTTTTGTGCAGTAATGTTTATCATATCAAAAATTAAATATAAAAGAATTTGAATTTGGCACTAGGCAACTCTAGCTTAAGAAGCCTTCCTCTTAGTTGTAGTCAGAAGAACCTTCCCCTAAGTGCAAGGATTGATTGATGAAAAAAATGTTAACAAAAGAGCACCAGTTGTTGAATGACTAAAGGGAGATAACTGGAATTAATTCACTGTAAACATTATTATTTTTAGTGCATTATAACATTTTAACAGATAAGCACATTCATAAATTAGCACACCTTCAATAGAAAATTTGTAAAAACTGAAACAGAAATTATAAAGTGTATACTGGGAAGGAGAACCGATATTCTTTTGATTAGTGTGCAGGGTTGTTTATAAGTAGTGGGTGTATAGCTTCATCTTCTATGGAAGGGAGCAAACTCCATATCTAATGTGGAACTCTCTGTTTTCCCCGTTATAACTGATGTAGTGATGGCCTTTAAATTAATTTTAATGTTCATATTTTACAGTGAATCACCAGCGCAACAAACGACAACTAATGGATGAGATAATTGCTTTGAAGAAGACGCGGGATGCATTAGAGCATGACATGTCTAATAAGGACGCCCAAGTCAGCGAGGCTCGACGAGAACTTGACATGAGTGCTACAGCCATAAGAAATGCAGAGCTAAAAATCTCCACACTGAAGACCCAGGTATATAATAATTGCTATTAATCTGCGATTGATAGGTTTAATTTTCCTTCAGTTAGATTTCCTAACCTCCACTTTTAGGATATGTTCAGGTAAGTCCATAGAAAAGGTTACTGATTTAGTAATTGTACACATATCTTTTATAGGTGATAGCCAAGTCAGATAGCCTGTATAGCTAGCAATGCAACAATTTTGAAAAAGAACAAAATTTCAAAGATTAACATGACTATATAACCGTCCATGCTGGTCCTGATTAGGTTTGGTTGTCCACTCAATATCAGTATGGTAGAGAAGTTGTTTATTAGCTCACCATCATCTGATGGTGGGCTATTCAAATCTCCCTGCGTCCGTGGTCCGTCCTTGAACAATTCTTGTTATCGCTATCGCCATTTCTCCGGTAGTACCAGAGGGATCTTTCTCAAATTTGTAGGTTCCCCTTGGTCCCTAGTTGGGCATATATACTTTTGAGACTGATCAGTTAAACAAAATGGCAAACAGGCAGCCATCTTGGATTTTGACAGTGAAGGTTTGTTATGGCTATTTCTCAGGAAGTACTGAAGCGATCTTCTCAAATTCGATATGTAGGTTCCCCTTGGTCTGTAGTTGTGCATGTTTAATTTTGAGTATGATCAGATAAGCAAAATGGCCGACAGGCAGCCATCTTGGATTTTTACAGTGAAAGTTTGTTATCGCTATTTCTTAGGAAGCACTGGAGGGATCTTTCTTAAATTTTGTATGTATGTTCCCCTGCGTCCTTCGTTGTGCATGTTTACTTCTGAGAATGATAAGATTTACAAAATGGCTGACAGACAGCCATCTTGAATTTTGACAGTGAAGGTTTGTAATAGCTATTTCTCAATAAGGACTGGAGAGATCTTTCCCAAATTTGACATGTAGGTTCCCCTTGGTATGTAGTTGTGCATGTTTTCTTATGAGACTGATCGGATAAACAAATCTTTGATTTTGACAGTTAAGGTTTGTTAGTGCTATTTCTCAGAAAGTACTGGAGGGTTCTTACTCAAATTTTATATGCAGGTTCCCCACGGTCCTTTATTGTTCATGCTTACTTTTGAAACTCTTCAGATAAACAAAATTGCCGACCAGCAACCATCTTCGATTTTTGACATTTAGTGCTATTTCTTAGGAATAACTAGGGATCTTTCTCAAATTTGATATGTAGGTTCCCCTTGATCCCTCGTTGTGCATGTTATATTTTGAGACTGATCAGAAAAACAAAATGGCCGAAGACAGAACTAAACAGATCTTTCTCATACTGCAATGATCCATGCTATTTCTTTCACATTAGTACTGTACTAGTAAATATGTGAAACGACAAACTCACTTTGACGGTTGTCTTTTATACACAGCAGTATGAAGTTTAGATCAAAAGTTTCCTTAAGGTGAATTTACTGTTAACATGACTTGATCAAACAGATAAGAGAAAAGAAGAGAAATTATCAAACTGACAAAGAACTAATCAAGATGGTACAATGGTGGGCGCCAAGATCACTCTGGGATCTCTTGTTTTTGTATCAAGTTCCTGCTGCCTTCCTCCTACATTCATAATTGGTATTTGCTACTCTCAAGAGAGACTCAAGTTTAGGGGTGTGCAATATCATCCTAATATCGGTTATATCGGAAATAGTTTTTTGACGATGACAATACAGACATATCGCAATGTTTCTATCAAACATCGATATGTAACGATGTTAAGAGAAAAACAGTAAAACATTAAAAAGCATGTTGAATACCGGTAATCCAGTACATTTCCTTTCTTTTTGTAATTTTGTGGTTTTATATTTTATTCTGTGATGAATGTAAGGAATACACATTTTAAATGTTTTTTATTGTGATGTTGTTAAATAATAAACAAATAATTATTCCAAGGCATTTTGTTTTTAAACTTTTATTGAACTTATTATGAAATATTTCGAAAGTTTGCAATATATTGCAACATATATTGCAATGATTTTCAGAAATATCGCAATATCAAAATCTTTGCAATACAGTAATTTTTCTGATGTGTCAGTTGGACCAAAGAACAGAGCAGCACAAAATGACTCAGATTGCCTTGGACGAGAAGCGCTCGGAATGTCTAAGTACCGAGACTCAGCTACGGGAGATCGAGGAGAAATACTACAATAACACCGTACAGATACAGGACAAGCTTTCTAATGACCTTAGGGTGAGTTCAAAGGTCAATAAAAGTAAGATAAGTTCAAAGGGTATGGAAGCTTGAGTTGAGTTCAAAAGTCAAGGAAACAGCATAATATCAAAGGTAAAAGAAGTTTAAGATGAGTTCATAGTGCAGGGAAAGTAAGGACAGGCCAAGGAGCACCCAGGATGAGTTGAAAGGTCAAGCAAACTTTGGGTTGTAGATATATTTTTCTTGGAAAAAATCAATGCTGTTTGACATAAGTTGAAAATGTCTCTTTTTGTTGTATTTGAGGGATGGTAGAATTTCTCTGGTCTAGTTTTACTGTGATCTGAGCAAGAGGATAATTTCTGTGTCTTGTTGTACTGTGTTATGAGCAAGGATAGAATATTTCTACGACGGTCATACTTTGCTTTATTGTGAGTGAGAGAAGAGCTTCTGTCCCTTGTAATTTATTGTGTGCAAAGGTATAATTTCAGTACAATCATATACATAAAGGAAAGAATGAATTTGTCATCCATAGATAATAAAAAAATATTCAAGTTAAATATTTGCCCTTTACCGATAAAATTCATATTCGACCAGTGTTAATTTAGCCCTTTAGATCTTATTAGTACTATTTATGGTATGCTATGCCCTAAAATTTGCAGTCACGATAGATTTGCCTTCATTATGGAAAGTGATAAAGGTGAAAGGTAAATGGAATTAAAAATATTCCTGTTATATGTATTCCGTCTTAACGTATTGCAGAGTTATCTTCTCTTGTGAGCAGGTATTGAATGTTATGTCATTTGTTTGTGAGAGTAACGTCATCAGTTTTTGAGAAAACAACATAATTTTCTCACACAAACCAATGACGTAACAATCAATACCTGCTCACAAGAGAAGATAACTCTGCAATACGCAAAGACGGAATACAGTAATGTTATGATCAAGTGCCTTCAAAAGAAAAAGAAAAAATTAGTGAAAGATATAGTTAACACTTTAGGTGTGTACTTTGATATCTCAAAGAGCTGTTTATATTGGAAGTCACAACCTTTGATAATGGAAAGATGTGTCTCAGTTACAACACCATTCACCTGGTACACATGCTCTGAGGATGTTAAAGACGTAAATAGAAGTCATGGTTACCAGGGGCCGCAGTGGCCAAGTGGTTAAGGCGTCTGACATTCTGCTACCACTAGCCCTTCACCACAGGGTCACGGGTTCGAGACCTACGTGGGGCCGTCCATAGGTCGGTGGTTTTTGCCCGGGAACACCGGCTCTCCTCCACCACCAAAACCTGGCACGTCCTTAAATGACCATTGCTGTTAATAGGACGTAAAACACAAACAAACAAACAAATAGAGTAAACGATTTAGTTGAACGAGTCCTTTAAGTTGACATATTTAAAGGGACAATTTAGTGAAGGAAGTTTTTTTTATAACCTTGCCACGAAATGCTTCATGATTATATAGTTTGATACTCCTTATGAACAATTCATGTCGATAAATTGGCAAGAGGCAATGTTTTCTTGCTGTTTTTAATCAGTAATGGAGAAATCCTTAACTATACAGCCGTGCGTTTTAGCGGCAGCTGTCATAGCTAACAAAAGATGACTTTCCAGCCGAGGACAGAAGGTAACTTCTCACTTTATTCCTCTAGCCTCTCTGGAATACAAGTACAGGTACATGTAGGCATTTATTCTGAATCAAAATCATCTTCTAACAGCATCTCAAATATCCTTATAAATGAGTGATCTATTTTACGTTTAAACCTATTGATATCATACCTTCTGCTGTTTGAAATCTCCCAGCGGCACCCTCTCGGTGTGTGCATGCTCTTATTGAACCTGTTCGTTTTAATATCTGATTAGAGGTACAGTGTATAAATTTGGTACTTGCGATATACTGTGTAAATTTAAGAATGTGTTATGTGTGAAATCAGACTCATAACTGACACTGTTGTCGGTCGACAGCGTAGTGCTGTACATGTTTACTTCTCACTGAAAGGCCCAGCTATTGCACTATTTTTGTCACTGGCTCTCCCAAAAGATGAATCTGACCACACTGGACGTTGGCTTCAGGCCACACCATTATCAACTACGCTAACTTTCGTCAGGACTTATATATTTTCAGTATTGACTATCGACTCTATTTTCAAGTTGTCATTTGACTAATAAGCCCCATTAACCAATCATGGTATGCAAGGAAAAGGCATGTTTTGTTGATTTCTAACCTTGTTAATTCAGATATTTTCTCTAGAAGTCTGCCTGTTAACAAGACCGACTGTAAATATATGAGACTAAAGTATGATCATCCCTTTCTCTTTTTTAAATTTTAGGAAGAAATCAGGTTATTGAGACAGAAGCTAAAAGAGACTGAGATGAACGCAGACCATGACCGCTATCTGAAGAGCAAGATGTCCGAGGACAGTACCAACTTAGCCCGAGAAAATGCCCTCCTTGAGCAAAAGCTTCAGGAGCTAGAGAGCCGGTTTATCAGGGTATGTCAAAAAACACTGTGAACACAGTAGAAAAGAAAGAAAAGTCAGGGAAAATGTATCAGAGATAACCAGGTTTTTGTAAGGATATTATGTCAGTGAGCATTGTCTTGGAATTAGTTGAGGCAGTATTGTTTCAACTACTTTACTGTCCATTAAAAAATCATAAAATGTTCTCCAAAAATATTCTTTATTACTAACAGGAGAAAGAGATTCGAGAAAGTCAAGAGACCCGCCATGGTAGCCATGTTTCAGAGCTTGTTCAGCTCCGCGACAAAGAGAAGGAGGCCCGCTTTGAGCTACAACATACTCAGGATCTGCTGCGCAAGGAACAGGAAAGGAACAGGTTATACTCTGAAAAGGTGCGGCAAAGATACATAACACTATATCCGTCTTTATTTGGTATATCAATTATTGAAACTTTCAATTTTTCTGTACATTCTTGGAAAACTCAAGAAACTTGAACTTGAGTTTTTTTTTAACAACCTAAAAAACTTGTCCTTACCTCGTTTTCTCCTTGTACATTTTCCTTGAAGTATTCCACGTCAAATTTATTCAGTATATATTTTTAGTACCAAACAAGTTCTAGGATTATTTACTCATTCACCCCTACAATTTCAAACTGGACTAACCCAGTCATAGCTTTGGTAAGGTTCAATTGTTACTTTAGGGTTGAATGGGTTAATGAATTAACTCATGACTTATATTTAGGAGAGCTCCCTAACCCTACACCCTGCTAGTAGAGTCCGTTCTGCCCTTGACTCTGACATTGACCTTGGGAAACTATAAATGACTCCGGATTACTATTCTTCAAATCTGGCAGAGTAAACTTTACTCCAAAATACTAAACTTAAATCATGGATATTATGCCTGAGTCCAAGATACTATGCTCGACTCTTGGATACTAAAATTAAATCCAGAATTCTTCACTTGATTAAAGGATACTAAACTTGACTCGTAAGTATCTTTGTATGATTTCAGAATATTATACTTGGCTAAAGGATATTTAAGTTAACTTGGAAATACTATTTATCACATAATGTACTGTGTTATCCAGTGAATATACCCATGTCATATTTTTTTGCGTATTAACCCATGTAATATGACCTACCAGCCCTGTGATTGGTTGTAAGCTTCAATTGTGACATCATTCCTAGGACCAGTACATGTACATGAATCTCATATGAAATGGAAACTCATGTAAGATCCTATATATTTGACTATAAACTGTTATTTGATAGAATGACTATTACAATTTTTGTTGCAAAAACATTATTTACCGGTATACACACATGTATCTTGTTCTGTAGCCTTTTGCACATTGGGTAAATCATTTAGTAATGAAATGCAGTCGTATGTAATGTCACATGGACATGCATACCCATAGGGCCAGAGGATCCCCGTATCTAAAAGTTCAGGACTTTGTACAGTTTTATAACAGGGTCAATAAAGTGCTGATCACTGGACGAAAATGAGACTCAACACCCGAAATTGACCATTTAAGGACATTCATATAACAAAAATATCACCAAACATCACCAAATAAGGGCATGCATTTATAGTGGATAATTTACATTACAGTTAAGTTAAGTTTATTACCAGTACAGGATCATTTAAGATACTCTACACTACACACTCAAATATACAATAATATCAATACATTAAATAAATCAATTGTGACGACAGTTCCAATTTCTGTAGAATTTTGGACTTATAATTATATAAAAGTTCTTGATTTTCCCAATGCTTATTTAATCTGTTTTTGAAAGAACTTACTGTTTGTGCCGAATTTACTTGTTCTAGGAGATTGTTCCATATTTTGTCTACGCGCAGACAAAAAAGGTTTTCCCTGATATCTATTTTACAATGCTGTGGAAATAGCTTTTCGGAATGTCCTTTTGTCCCCTGTCTTTGGACCTTGTCCCCTGTCTTGGACCTTGTCCCCTGTCTTTGGACCTTGTCCCCTGTCTTTGAACCTTGTCCCCTGTCTTTGGACCTTGTCCCCTGTCTTGGGCCTTGTCCCCTGTCTTTGGACCTTGTCCCCTGTCTTTTGACCTTGTCGTTCCAGCGTTTAAGAAAATCTGCTGCCTTGCTATCACAGATATTGCTCATTTTAAATACTTCGATCATATCTCCCCTGATCCTTCTGAAGGCCAGTGTTGGTAATTTAAGCCTCTTAAGCCTATCTGATTAGGACATTTCCTTACATCCAGGTAACTTCTTAGTTGCCCTCCGTTGTACAGCCTCAATCATATCAATATAATATGATATGATACAGTACATCACATGTACGCTACAAGTTACACATACAACATGATTGGGCTAGCAGATATACATATACACAGTTACATCAGCAGACATTAGCATCACATAAACAAGTTACACATACAACATGATTGGGCTAGCAGATATACATATACACAGTTACATCAGCAGACATTAGCATCACATAAACAAGTTACACATA